ACAGTGACACACTTCCTCCAACAATGCCACACTTACTCCAACAAGGCCATACCACCTAATAGTGCCACTCTCTACAGGCCAAGCATTCAAACACATGAGTCTATGGAGGACATACCCATTCAAACCATCACAGAGGTCCTGCCCCTGACCACTGTGTTGTATATTTTGTTTGTGCTCTGACAAATAAAGCTTTCCTGGAGATAAGAGGGCAAGGCCAGCCACTAGTTAACCATAGAGGCCAGGCAGTGGTGGCACACACCTTTGATCCCAGCACTAGGGCAGTAGAGACAGGAGCGTAAGGCCGGTGGAGACAAGATCTCGGCGCCCCATTCGGTCTGAGGATTCGTACAGGTAAGAAGTGACTGTGGCTGCTCCTTTGCTTCTCTGATCTTTCAGGTTTCACCCTTGATATCTGACTCTGGGTTTTTATTATTAAGACTAAGTAGGATTGTGCTTCACCACTGAGCAAGAGTGCCTCTGACATCAAGCCTGAAGAGAAGCTCGTGGGTAAACTCCCACAGGCCATGAGACTGGGTTCTGCCAATGAGGTATGAGCACACATTATGGATGTTACTGCCCCATGTGACTTGGTTCTGGCCAATGATTTATAAGCACAAATTACAGATGTTATTGCCAACTTTGTCTCCTCAGGCATACTGCAAGGTCTCTTAGAGTCCTCTCTCTCTCTCTCTCTCTCTCTCTCTCTCTCTCTCTCTCTCTCTCTCTCTCTCTCGCTGTGTGTGTCTCTCTCTGTCTCTCTCTGTATCTCTCTCTTCTCTCTGTCTTTCTGTCTCATTCTCTCCAGAGAACTACATACATAACATTTGTCTAGTATTTTAAAAGTCACAGAGGATGATGGGATAAAAGATCTTGCCCTCTTTAATCTCAGAGAAGAACTGGTCAGGGAAGCTGCCCAACCAGGACCATCCATACAGAGTTTAAGTAACTTAGAAATGAACAAATATTGCATGGTGTTTGTAACTAATATCTATTTGTTATATCAGCGACACTTACCCTATTGTTTAAAATATAGTAGTAACTTCACAAAACACAGGTAGTTAGCACCTTCACCAACTGGCCAAGGATAACATCACCAGCAACACAACTCATTGGCATCAAATGCCTCCTTAAAGGCACAGCATTGCCAAATGCATAACTTCTATAAGAAAATCCAGAGACAAGCTCAATCTGAGAGACAGTCTAGAAAACAGTTGGACAATAACATTCTTAATGTGATGGTTGTAAACTTGACTTTATCTGGAATGAACTATAATTCAGAAATGGAGGACACACTTGTGATCTGGACCTTGAGGCAAGAAGACAACATGCCTTTAATCCAGATCTTGAAGTTGGAAGGCACACATTTAATCCAGGCCACACACCTTCTGCTGAAGGACAATGGAAGAAGGGAAGGGGTGTGTTCATCCTTTGCCTGCTTGCCCTGGCCTTGTCAGCACATCCATTTCCTTCACTGCCATTGGAGCCTACTTCTTGGGATTCCAGAATATGCAGAAGACCAGCTGAGATCCCCAGCCTTTTGGGACTGAGAAACTCTAGATTCATGGACTTTCCATTCACAACTAGCCATTGTTGAACTGCAGCCTCTGAGTCATTCCATTAAATTCATATATATATATATATATATATATATATATATATATATATATATATATATGGGAGAGAAAGAGGGAGGAAGAGAGAGAGACAGACAGACAGAGACAGGCAGAGATTCAATACATAGGTTCTGTGACTCTAGAGGACCCCCACTAATACATTTAACTATTAAGGTCTTGAAAGATCTCAGAACTATCATAGATTGGAAGAAACTGAGGAAATACGAGGATTGATTCCGAAGAACTAGAAAGCAGACCAGAGAGGGGATACTAGAGAAACTTCATAAAATACAAATGAAGTGTGTTAGCCAATGATACTGTTTCAATGTTCATTTCCTGCCTTCACTGGCTGTATTGAGGTGATATGAGATGTGGACTTAAAGAGAACCTAGGCATGATGGTTAACTTTAATTGTCAACTTGACACAACACAGATTCACTTGGAAAGAGAATGTCAGTAAGGGATCATCTATATTGGGTTGGCCTTGGAGTGTGTTTAAGAGAGATTGTCTTGAGTCAATTCATGGGGGAGGACCCATCCCACCATGGGTGGCACCATACCCTAGGAAGGGAGTCCTGAACTGAGAGTGGAGAAATTCAGCTGAGTACAAGCAAGCAAGAAAGTGAGATGTATGCATACATTTCTCCCTGTTCTTGATTGGGCACATGGTGTGACCAGCTGCCTCAAGCTCCTGCCCTGCAATGATGGACTGTAACTTAGAATTGGATCTAAAACTATTTTTTTATTCCCTGAGTTGTTTTTCGTCGGAGTATTTTATCACAGAAATAGAAATTAAGCTAGAACAAAAATTGATACGACGGAAGTGGCATTGTTGTTGTGATAGACATGGCCATATGGCATTTTACTCTTTGGACTACATTATAAGGAGGACGTGAGAGCATTTGGGCTAGAAAAGCCACTGGATGCTGGAAATGGAGTAGGGGGGACATTCCAGTGGGAGCTTGGAAGATAGAAAAATCTGTAAGAAATATAGATTATTGAGACCCAGCTCACGGGGTTTTAGAGAATATCAAAGACTTTATCAATGGGGTCATTCTGTGTGGCATTTTGGATAAGAATCTATGTGTGCTGATTGGGCTGGGGCAGAAGAAGCAGCTGTGATTGTCAGAGAGATCAACACCCCTGAAATGAAGTTCTAAGCTTCAGTGAGACAAAAGGAAAGTATTTCCTCGGGTCAGCACATAGATCCTGATAGAGCTGTGCTCCAAAAGGGGCAGGCTGCATCTCCAGCTGACAGCAGAGCTTGTAGATAAAAGCATTATCCACATGGTACTGGGTTTGAAAGCATAAAAGATGCAAGATTGAAGGGGTCATGGAGAGGAGCTGAGGGCTGACATTGTGTGGCAAAGTCAGTCAGTCCCTGTGTGGAGCTGTGAAGATGGTCTCAGTTGCCATGGAGACCCCAGGGTACTGGAGATGCTAAGACCATGTAAAGCTGCAGGTATAGAGTGGAGCAAAGAAGCTATAACTCCTGTTCCAGAGAATCCAGTGACTTCCCCTGACTTTGGGAGGCACTGGGGGCATTCGTATGGTGCACAGGCATGCTTGCAGGCAAAACATCTACACACATAAAAATTAAAAAAGTGAAAGATTCTGGTTTAAAAGTGCTGTGTCAACAAGTTGACAAGAGGTGGGGTAAGATGATTGGCCTTCACTATCAACTTGACTTAGAACCACCTAGAAAGAGTGTCAGTCAGGGTTTGTCTATATTAGGTTGGCCTGTAGGCATGTCTTGTGGTGGGGGAGATTGTCTTAATTAAGGAATTGATATAGGAAAACCCATTCCACTATGGGTGGTGCCATTCCCTGGGCAGGGGGTCCTGAACTGTATGGGAAGAAATCAAGGTGAGCAAGTGATGCTGTGTGCATATGTTTCTCTCCACTCTCAACTGTGGGTGCCGTGTGACCAGCTGTATCATACTCCTGCAGCTGTGACTTCTCCTGGGGGATGAACTGTAACCTGGAACAGCAAGCTGAAAAAAGCCCTTGGTCTCCTAAGCTGTGTTTTTTGTGAGATTCTGTTATCACAGCAGCAGACATGAAACTGGAGCGTTGGCTGAAGGCATTCTCAAACACTCGGGGTTTTGTAACTTTTCAGTAAACCTGAAACAGAAAATTAAGAGCTAAGGGGGGCTGGAGAGATGGCTCAGCGCTTAAGAGTACTTGCTGCTCTTGCAGAGGTCCTGGATTCCCTTCCCAGCAGCCACATCAGGCTGTAATATCACCGACAACTCCAGCTTCAAAAGATCTGGCACCCTCTTCTAGCCTCTGTGAGCACTGTACTCGTGTGAACACACACACACACACACACACACACACACACACACACACACACACACCATGTGCACAGAAACAGTGAGAATAAATGCTTTTTAAACCATCTGAGCCCTCGTGGTGCCTTGCCCTTGCTTCACGGTCAGCAGCCCTTCCCAATAAAGACCCTTGCTGGCTTACGCCTTTCAGTTTCTTTATTACAGAAAACCCCATTTATCCAAAACTAGCCCAGTGCCCACCTTACTATTAAACCTGAACCCTGCAAGTTTGGGTCTGAGAAGCTGTCTTGCCCCCTTGGTTATCTGATGTGGAATGCATGACCAGGTTCAACTCTCTGAGTGAAGGGACCAGGGCTCTGCAGCCACACCCCATCCTGCACAGTGCTACAGGAGACCTGCTCATCCCCGGCTCTGAGCCCCTCTGTCCTCTCTCTTCCTGGAGACTTGATCATGCAGCCAGCGGGAGCGGTCTGGTCCTCGGCAGTCCTCCTGCGCATGCCTTTCTTGGCCCTTCATAGTGACAGGCCTCTGGGATGACAATTTTTTTCTTCCTTTGCTGTGGGCCTCGGGACAACTGTTGAACAACCAGATGTCAAGATGTCGCAGCAGATTGAAAAGCTGCTGAACTTCTGTGTTGGTACTAGGAGCAGCCCAGGGCTCAACAGGGCTCGGCTGGGGGACCTCCTGCATGTGACTGTATAAGCAGCAGCAAGTAGAACGCTGGAGGACAGGGATGCTAAGTAGAAGGTGCCAGCCAGGCCACAGGTTCAGCTTCTCAGAAGCAAGATGGACCAGGAGAGGGGACATCTTTGAGTCCTGAGGCAAATAAGCTCCTACCTCCAAAGCAAAGACCCACCTACCTCCACCCAGGATGAGAAGGGGTGGGCAGTGGCTTGAATCATACCCAGCCCCAAACACATCAGGACAGGCTGTCTAGAAGTCAAACAACACTTTAATAAGGGGCATAATGTGGCTGCTAGCATTGCCTGGAGTCCTGTGACTTCCAACCCACTGAGCAATAAAACTGGAAGGAATGTGAACAGAAAGGGTGTTAACGCCCATGGGACACTGGGTGGGGCAGAGCCCAGGGACCTCAGAACAGCAGCTTCAGAAGCAGGAGGCTGCCGAAGACAGAGGAGGTGAAGGAAGCTTTGATGCCTGTGCTGGTCGGAGGGGTCTTGGTGGTGAGCGTGTTTATGGTTGTTGCATTTTCGCATATGACGCTCCGGAAAATGAATTCTCCCACTGTTGTGTTCTCAGGAGCCAGGGTTTCACAAGTAGACTCGCTGATATCGGAACAGCCTTTCAGCTCCACCTGGTTCCGTTCAGTGCCTGAAGATGCACGGGAGACAGTCAGAACTCTAGGCAACCCTACCGCCCAAGCCCCAGCCCACACAGAGTTATTTATCTGCAGGCAGTTGAGCAGCATACAACAGCCCCTCTGCCTCTGAAAGCCACCTTAAGGAAGAAGTCCAGAATTAAGAGTACCAGACAGTAGCAGCAGTACAAGAACTATGGAGGTCAGAGGCCGGACCCCTCCTCACCCAACCCCCAAAGCAACTGAGGCTGTGAAAGGTGGGTTACAAACCCAGGCCTAAAGAAAGGATGGGAGCTGTTGTCTTGGACGCCCCATCTCTTGTGTTCCTGTGGAGCTGTCAGATGAAAACGCCAGAAACAACTGGGTGCGATGGTGCAGCCCTGCAAGCCCAGTGCTTGGGAGACGGTAGCAGGAAGATCCTGAGTTCAAGGCTACCCTCAGCTACATAGCGAGACTCAATCAAGAAAAACACAGAGAGGAGGGAATGGGAAAAGAAGGAACAGGGAGAGA